TCGCCGCCGTGTCCTCCCCGCGCGGGGCGTGCTGGGAACCCCGGGGGGGGCGGGGCCTCGCGGCCCTGCAGCCTCGTCAGGCTCAGTCCCCTCCCGATAAACCTCTAAATAGGGATCTTCCCCGGGGGAGACCTCGACTTTTTTGGCGAAAACGCTCAGTTTAAGGAGGCCTTCTCCCTTGCTTGTCGTGGTGGAGTGGAAAGGATCCTGAAGGCGAAGAATGAGGGGGCTTGTGAGGTGGAACTGGGGGGAAAAAATCCCTCCCGACCGGGATTTGATGCAATTCAGCTCCTTCCGTCTTTTGAGGGAAGACGCTTTACATGGGATTTCGAGAAAACAAAACAAAACAAATCCAGTCGTTTTGGCGCGCGCTCTTCCTCCCTGGATCCCTACTGTCGTCACGTGACGAGTCAGTCTACTTTTTTTTAAAAATTAAATGACGCATATTTTCCGCAGCATCTTTAATCTAGTGCGACCTAGTGGCGAGTGGAGAGAAAAAGAACTGCCGGCGGGGCTTCTTGCGAGGTGGCGGCCCCGCTGGCAAAAATGAAGTTGTGGACCCAGAGTTGGCGGGACAGTGCCACCTACTATTAAGGGGTCCTCGTGATTTGAGTTAGAAAACGTCTGTTGAAAGCCCTGGTCCAGAGCTCGTTGCAACGCATGTAAACTTTTTTTAATGTTTTATTTATTTCCGAGAGAGAGAGAAGAGAGAGAAACAGCCAGCCTGAGCAGGGGAGGGTCAGAGAGAGAGGGAGACACAGAATCTGAAGCAGGCTCCAGGCTCTGAGCTAGCCTTCAGCACAGAGCCCGATGCGGGGCTCGAACCCACAAACCATGAGATCATGGCCTGAGCCAAAGTCAGGCGCCCGGCTAACTGAGCCACCCAGGCGCCGCATCAAGGCATGTAAACTTTCCCAGGGACAATTAGGGGAAAGCCTTGTGAAGCCAGTGACAGCTTGAGTTTTAGGTGGATGGATGCGCCACGGTGGGGGGTGGGGGGTTGCTTCACAGTATTTTTACCCGAAGTAGTTGTTTTTTAAAGCTCAGCGCCACGGTCATTTCTGAAACTGCCAACTGCTCGGTACTTCCTGTTGCCAATGAGAAAAACAAAGCGCCTGTCTAAATCTAGACATATTTAAGATGTGCTAGCTGAGTTCGACGTGAAAGTTTACTTCTGAAGTTTGCGGAGAAACATTCATTTTCCCCAAGAATACGTAGAAGCTGCCCTACGAGATTCCCCTCCCCACCCCCACCCTCCAGGATGCGGGTGAAGCAATTTCATTAGGCAATTCGCGTTGAGTGGGGGAAATTTCAAGGGAAGCCGATACATCCCTGGAGACGTCCCTGTCTACTCCCATTGTGGAGGGCAAGATCAGACACGTAGCTGAAGCACCCTTTGTGCTTGCCTTTGATTTTCCAGAAGGCAGATGACAAGCACACACATCATCCGCCTGCTTAGGTATTTATTACTGCTGAGCAAATCTTCACTGTGTGTGTGTGGGTATTATTTTCCAAGTGGGAATTAGAACAGATGAAAAACAGCCCTGTGTCTAGTGTGTTCCACCCTCCCCCCCATCAAAGTATCAAACAAACATGCTTCTCTAGAGGAGTTTTTCTTTTTATTCTAGTTGAGTATCTCTAAACACAATCCAAAGTAACTAAAAATATAAAAAGGAAACAAAGTAAGTATGGATTTTAATTGCCTTAAAAAGAAGATTTTTAGTCACAAAACAATACAGAGCAGACACATTTTGTTTGACTTGGCCTTCTTTCAAGCCCAGAACTGTGCCTGATCTCAACCAGTTAAATGCGGTAAGGAAAACGGAATCAATCGGTTATGGAGAGTTCATGAAAAGCGTGAATTACAAATAATTTTTAATGAGATGCAGTTTTAGTGTTTTCTGTAGAAAAACAGCCTAAGCAGAGTACACCAGCTCTTGGAAGCAATTATGAAGTGAAATGCAATTGATACTTGTGAAAGAGTGCTTTCACATTTTTAAGATATATTTTCTTAAATAGAGTCCCTGTTCATCTGACTCCTGTTTCTTTTAACAGAGATTAAGAGTAACTTTCAGTTTTTCCCTGTCCAAATTATAATCTTCACATTTATGGAACCACGATGAAGTTTTATTTTGGAGCTATTTAAGTGGCTATTTTACATTTAGTTCACCTCCTAAATTAACCTAGCGGCCACTATGGGAGTTTCTCCCCCAGCATCTTCTGCCTATGTTCACTTTAGTGTTTTGCAATAATAAATTATGATAGAAGGACTCAAGCAAGAGAAACAACTCTGTCAGAGGCCGCGCCAGCTCCGACAGGTCCAGAGGTCCCTGAAGGATGGACGGTGTCGGCGAAAGAGAATGAGAGAGCCCCGAGATTCTTTCTGATCACCAGGCAGGCATCTCTGTCCGGTCGGTTTTGGTGTCTTTATTTAAAGGTTCAGCAACAACATGAAGGCAGAGAAAGGAATTTCTTACAATGGGAGGCCTTTTGTGATATCAATTAACAGAATGTTCATAGTGAAAAACAGGATAACATACAAGTTAAATTGTATATAGATAAGCTAGGAGTTATTCTGTCTGGCCCTCAAGAATATAAATGTTTCTGAATTGGTTTATTTGTGGAAACTAACATGGGGGCCCTAAATTGTCAGTCTTTGCACCTGGGTTTATGTTTTAGCTACTCTTATCTATCCTCATCCCAGTTGCCAGTGTAAGGGAGGGTGTTTGTGGAATGTAGGCCTTGAGGAAGGGACTGCTTTGCTTCACCAATTAGCAAAGATATATGGAGTAACTTATGTTCTGCCCTGAAATAGGCTCTTTGTCTCAGGGCCAGGCTCAATTGTAACTCTTGTGTTCTTAACCCCTTAAGTCTTGGATCTGCAAGGCCCATAGGAAGAGCCTTTTGACAATCACCCATAGAGCTTTCATCTAAAGTCTCTTTTGTAAAGGCAGGAGTATGCTTTTCCTTATGAGGTATCTGTATTCAGAATATGGGTCTGATATGGAATATTGTGAGGCCTGGTCAATACCAGCAGGCTCATTTCCAGCATGAGCCAGTAGTAGCAGAAGGAGATACTAGTCTTCATTTCTCATGGCAGAAGCTGTGCAAACATTGCCATTTCCTTGCTGTGACTGCTATCCAGAGAGGCCGGTGCGGCTCCTGGCACAACTCTCTGCTAATTCTAATTATTCTAGTGGTAATTCTTAATATGTAAAAGCTACAAGGAAAACAAATTGAATAAAGGGAGGAAAAGGTTTTAAAGTGCGCAAAAATTTTCCTTTCATTTTAAAGGCTTTACCCAATAACCAGTCCATTTCCCTAAAGTATTCCTGAGGATGAATTTCATGATCATTTCACTGTACTCCTTTAGTCTTTATGGAAAGTGAAGGAAATTGGAAACTAAGTGACTTGATCAATGACATTTAGGCAGGTCAAACTCATCGATTTGTGCTTCAGTTTATCTGTAAACTGAGATGATTGCTCCCTGACCAGAAACCTCAGGGAATGGGGAGAGTCATATAAAATTCTGAGAGTGAAAGAAAGCATCAGAGGAAAAGTATCAAGAGGCTGCAAATGACTTATTAGTGTTTGTGACCAGGATGGAAGTGTCCTGAAAGACATTTCGGTACTTTCCTTAGCGCTGTTGACATAGGTAGTGAGGTTCCCTTTTGGATGTCTGAGCTATGGGAACTAGCAAGAAGTCAGAACAAAGTCGAATTAGAGAAAGGTCAGTTTTACCCAAGGCAAGGAGGTGGGAAGGATTCCAGAGGAGTGTGGCTGGAGGCCGCAAAATAGCTAAAAATCTCTTTGTCTCTAGGGTAGTGCTGAAGAATGTAGGTGTAGGAGTCAAACAGACCCAGGTTTGAGGCCTGATTTGTTATTGCTAATTGGGACAGGTTGGGCAATGCATGTAATTTCCTGCATGTTTATTTTCTCACCTTTAAAACGAGGACAATAAAAGTGCTTTTCTGTGGTCCTCATCATCTGGGTCTCAGCTCCATTGTCACCTCCATAAAGCAGCCTTCCCTAACTATGTGAAGTGACCTCTCTCAGCCCTTTTCTATCAAGTGACCTTGCTTTAATTCTTAGCACTTACTAGCATCTGAAATTAGTTTACCGTTTCCTGGTTTGCTCTCTTGCTTTCTAATTTATTACCATAGCCTTTTGAAGACTGGCATCTTGTCTTACATTTACTGTGTCCTAAGCCTGATTGCTCAATAAATATTTGTTGGTGAACAATTAGGATTGCTGTGAGAATTAAATAAGAAAACCCATGTCAAGAAGTTAGCATTGTGCCTGACACACATAATAAGCAAATCATGATCGCTTAACAATTCCATAGACGATATTTAACTCTGTACTAGGTATTGTCCTAAGCGTTTTACAGGCTCCAAGCTACCTCATTTTGTCTCCGCCTAACCTGAAGGTAGAATTGTATTAAGAACCCCCATTTTTGAGATGAGGAAACTTAAGTCAAAGCGAGTCTAAGTCACTTGCCCAAGAACAAACAGCTAGCTAGTAGGAATAGAGCCAGAATTCAAAGCCAGGCTGGAAACCAAACCTACACAAAGTCAGCTGTCTTCGAAGAAGATAATGATGTTGACATTTTTATTTTGGGTGTAAAGGACATGGAGCGTTGCCTAACCCAAGCGGACCTGCATCTTTGTTCTTCCCTCCAGTTGGGGAAAATGCGATCAGTGTTTAGAGGACGGAGTCGTGTTTGCTTGAAGAGCGCGGCCCTCAAGCCCAAGCCCGTCGCCGGATGTCCAGGGACCCGCCTGCACACCCCAAGGCAGGCCAGGTCCTGCCCAGCAGCCGGAGCCTCCCAGGCCCGGGCCGGCCCAGTGCAGCCGCGTGGCCACGCCGCGCCCGAGCCTGGGAAAAAAGTTTCCAAACCGCGCTGCTAGGCGCTGATTGGCCGAGGCGGACGCGGTCCCGTGGCGCGGCAGCCAATGAACGGCGCCCGCCGCGGGCGCGGGGGTGGGGGCGGTGGCCGGAGGCCCGGGCAGCGCAGTCTGCTGCTGCCGCCGCCGCCCGTCCTCGCGGACAAGCCCGGGTAAGTTCGGGGCTGCGGTGGCCTGGGGTGGGGGCGCCCGCCCCGGGACCGCCGCCACCGCCGGGGAAACTCTTCAGGCTGCCCTGGCGCCCCGCCGCGCTCTCGGGACTCCCAGGAGCCGCCTTGCAGGGAACCTGCTGCGCCCCTCGCAGGCGCTTCGCTTCCCGGCCGCCCTCACTCCGCGGGTCCCGGGCGCTGGGCTCAAAAGTCCCGCTCTCGGGAGCCTCCCTGGCTAACTTTTTGCCTTCCCACCTTTGTGTCCTCGGCGCCCAGCCCCTCGCCTTTGCCAACTTTCTTTCTCTTCTAGCGCTGGCCTGGCTCCGACCTGCTGCCCTCCTCGTCCCCGGTCCCCGTTGCCCGGCTCCTCTGCCTTCCAGCCTTCCTCCCACCCCCACCGTAGGCCGCCCTCTTTGACTCTCCTAGTTTCTCTTCTCTTTTGTCGGTCTTTTCTCATCCGCCCCCCTCTAGCTCCTTTCTTCCTGCTGCCCCAAACTCTCCCTCTTTCTCATCCCTTCCGCCCCCCACCCCCCTTTCTCGTCCACTGCCCCGTGCTACTTCCACCCTCACTGCAGGCCTCTTTCCAAAAACCTCCCCCCCGCCCCCCCCCTTGGCATCTCCCTGCCTTCGGGAGCGTGTTTGGAACAGCCTCTTTCCCTCTGCGTTTCTCAGATCTCTACTGCGGGAAGGTTCAGATTTCCCCTGACAGCACTTTGGGGAAGGATTGGATGAAGGATGAAAACGCTTATTCTGCAGTTTGAATGCAGTCGTGGGGCTTACCTGCCTCTCCGAGGTCATGGGAAATCCCGCCATCACCTGGGGAAGCCGCCTTATCTTCTCCAGTCCTCTCGGGTTCTCTGCTTCCTGAGGGTCTGAGCTTCTCTGATCTCTTTGTCCAGCGTTTGTACCAGGTCGTGCCTCTTTCTACTTTTAGCCTCGAGGCCCCTTTTAACTTCCTTTCTAAAGAAATGGCCTTTTACAGCGTGCCCCGGGCAGGGGTTTGTCATTTTCTATGCTAGTTTTGCTTCTGTATTCTTGGACAGGATGGCATTTTAGGACACAGGTAGGGTCCTTTGAAGAGCAATTGGATCGCAGCGACTCCCAGAGCCACTTATCTGACCCCACCACCACCCTGGTATTCAATCAGGATTGAAACGTAAATCTTGCGTCTTAGGCAAGGATTAGATCCCTGAAGTCTCAGAGGCCTCTGACTGGCGTATTTTATCCTCTCATTTCAGATATTACTTTCTTAACTTGGCTTAGTCTCTTAGGCTGTTATTTTTGTTTCCAAAGTGTGTTCTTTTGCGTTAGAATGTGGGAGCCTGGAGAGATTACGCTTCCTTTCCTTAGCAGATAATTTCCTAACGTGAGTGGGCCTGCCTACGGAAGGTTTGTGGCGGCAGCTAGTGCTGTGTTAGCACCTGGTACTGACGTGGGTGCTTTGTCTCTGCCTGTCCCAGCAGCGCCTTGCACTTAGTAGGTGTTTGGAAATGTTTGAGAAGGGATGGAGAGAGAAGCCCCAGCAGGCATCTTGAGTCAGTAGAATAAAATTATCCTGGAACAATAGCCCTTCTATTTTTTGTTCAAAGGCAATATATGCTTACTCTTAGCATGTCAGGCATGAGCTCTGATCTCCGTGCCTCCTTTGCCCCCATCTGGTACTCGCTTGCGACCTTTTGCTCTTCATGTATGCAGAGAGGGCGGGATACATTTACAAACAGAACTGGCACCCCTTTCTTCACATAGCAAGAACTTTCTTCCATATTCGTTTGTAGGGTTCTTAAAACCGCGTAATTTTCCAGCCAGACCCCTGTTGATGGTTAAGCGTCTCCAGTTTTCCATGTCAGTGGGTGATGGCGCGCACCCTCGCGTATATGTCCTTGCACGCCTAAGTCTTTTCGTCGGAATATCATTACAGACTTTGAAGGCGCAGAGACAGAAGCCAGACTTGCCGACTCTTGACTGGTGTTGCCCGAGTGATGCCACTTCTGGAAAACGCGGAGCCCGCGTCACCCCCTAGAATCAGCAGGAGCCCGAGCTGATGCTTGGCAGCGTCTCTGCCTCCCTCCCTTCCCCTTCGGCTCTTCCGTGTGTTTGGACTGGGAAGGATTGAGGTCGGGGTGGAGAAGGGCGGTGAGCTAATTCTTGATAGTTTAGACATGTGTTTTGCCCCTGACCAGCTGTGCTGGCTTTCTTCACTGAGAGGGGAGCCAAGGAAGAGTGCTTTGTGTTTTCCAGGGCTTTGAAACCAAAGGTGTCTGTGTCTCAAGTGTGTTTGCAGTCTTTTCAGTCTCATCATGGAAAACCTTTTTTTTTTTTTAAAGCTTGCGGAAACACCTTTTTGTAGGAGGAGTAGATCTAAGTGATGCCAAGTAGGGAATATATGCTTTCTGAGCTTCTTGTCCCTCAGCTTTTTCCTCCTTGGATGCTGTGGCATGTATTTTTGAGGTGCCCATTAGGTTTGTCCCCAGAGCTGCTGGGACACGGTGGCCTGATGGTGTATTGGAAGTACAGGCTGGGAGGCAGAATGCCCGCAAAAGAAAGGCATGCAGCACCTCTTCGTTTTTTAGGGTAGTGGCTGCAGAGTTGTACCTTTTAAAAGACTGTGTGGGCCAGATGAAACAGGTGACTCTGACCTCTGATTAGTCTCTTTGCAACTCCAAGGAGATCTGGAACCTGGATTCAAACCCGAGTGAACTTGCACTTGGGTTTGGGGTGCCTCTGCCATTCGTTCGCACCTACGGAGATGGCCAAGGTGTGCCGTGTCCCTGCTCCAGCTCTTGCTTCTAAGAACCCAAGTGACTGTCTTACTTATTCTTGCAGTCAAACGGCTTAAAGAGGATGACGTTGAAGATAACTTACTAGACGCCCAGCACATGGCTCATAGAAGCTGGTGTCAGTTCAGGAAATCATGCTGGGAGAAGGAAACCTTTCCAAGTCCTCTTACCTGCTTCCTGTGGCAAAGAATAACGCACATTAGAGCTGTGAGACGTTTCAAAAAGCATACATTTTAAGATTGCTATTGCCTAGCAAAGTGAAGTTCAGCTGTTCTTCGTCTAGAACATACTTTTCCTCTTCCCTAACCATTCTTATTTCAGTGCGGGGGTTTCTGGTTAAAATGCCCGGCCTGTGGTTTTGGTCCTTGAGTTGAATTAGTTATAGATTGTGCAGGCTCTGACAGAAGCTCAGGTCTCTGCTTAGCTGCCCCCACCCTGAAGTCCAAAACCAAGGGCGCCTGGGTGGCTCAGTTGGTTGAGCGGCCGATTTCAGCTCAGGTCATGATCTTGCATTTCACAGGTTTGAGCCCTACGTCGGGCTCTGTGCTGATAGCTCGGAGCTTGGAGCCTGTTTCAGATTCTGTGTCTCCCTCTCTCTCAGCCCTCCCCTGCTCCTGTTCTGTCTGTCTGTCTCTCTCAAAAAGAAATAAAACATTAAACAAATTAAACACAACAAAACCAGAGCTTTCCCATCAGCACGGTTGTAATTAGAGCCTCTCTCACAGTGGAAGTGCCTCTTAAAGCATCTCGAAGTCCTTTCTTTCCTGATTCAGGTTTAGTTTTCACTGGCCAAGGTAAGTGTTTTGGGAAGCTTTTTTGTCTAAAACTCCTCTGTCATAAGAGTGCAGGATGAAGGTTATTAAACTCCAGGAACTGTATGAGATAGTCCTCACTTAACCTGGGGACAGGGTAGTTTCTGACATGGTATCTTCTCCTCCAGCCCCTTCCCACGATTGAGGTGCCACGCAGGTGCTGAGGGAGAGAGGGGCTTTCCCCATCCTGACAAGCATCTCAGGGATTTACAGATGTCAGCTATAAACTGATCGCCAGAGCTTTCTGGCCTCCTGCCTTTCCTTCACCTGATATCCCCTTCCTGCCAGTATCATTCCACAAGCATTTATGGAGTGCCTGGTGTATGCCAAGCACTGTTCTAGGCATTGGGATAAAAAAGCAAGACAGAGAAGGCCCCTGTGCTCAACCACTGACATTCTAGTGGGGGAAGATGAACAAAAACAAAACTCAAAATGGTTAAATAAAGCAGAGATTAATACAATAGATAAAGGCTGGAGGGGGTAGTAGGTGGGATATTAAAATAAGGTCTCTTTGGGGAAGTCATTTCAGCTGAGATCTGAATGACAAGGACACCTGGGCATAGATCTGAAGGAGAAGCATTCCAGGCAGAGAACAGCAAGTGCAAAGGCCCTGAGGTGGGAGCAAGCTTGGTGCGTTCAAGGAACAGAAAGAAGGCAGTGTGACTTGAACATAAGCTAATGATGGAGGTCCGGGGTAGAGAATGTTTAGAGAAGTAGGCAAGGACTAGGTACATTGAATATTGGACATGATATTTTTCCAAAGAGCAGGAAAAGTCTATAAAAGAGCGAAAGAAAACATCCATTGTTTCTTGTTCCTCACTTTCTTGCCCTATTACACAGACTCCCTTGCCATTATTTGAGACTGTCATCACTAAGATAATCCGTGGCCATACACTACTCAGTCGCATGGGATCTTGACACTGTGGGCACTCCTTTGGTGACTTGGTATTAGATGAGATCTGGGCTTATTAGAGCCTAAGGCTCCAGCAGGGAGTACCTACCAGACCTAAGTTTACCCTTACCCATGGCCATGTTAATTTCTGTTATTTACCCTCTGGGTGCTCTATTTTTACTTTCAGCAAATGAGATCTTTCACTACTTACTTTTTTTTTTTTTTAATTTCTGAGCTAGAGAGACAGCGTGAGCATGGGAGGGTCAGAGAGAGAGGGAGATACAGAATCTGAAACGGTCTCCAGGCTCTCAGCTGGCTGTCAGCACAGAGCATGACTCAACGCAGGGCTCGAACCCATGAACCGCTAGATCATGACCTGAGCCAAAGTCAAGACGCTTGACTGAGCCACCCAGGCGCCCGTTTCACTATTTACTTTGATTAGGATTCTTGTGGCAGCAGTCCGACCCTAACTGATATATTTAAGAAAGGGAGTTGGTTATCTGTCCTAACCTTAAATCAGGCATGACTGGATCCAGGTGTTCAAATGATATCATCAGGACACAGTGTCTCCACCTCTTGGCTTTGCTTTCCTCTGTTTTGGCTTCGTTCTCTGGCCTACTTGGTTGCGATGGAGGAATGAGCAGGGACAACCCCAGGCTTCCTTCCTTCCACCTCACCCTAGTGGAAAGAGTTTCTTTTTTTTCTCCCAGCTTTACAGAGATAATAATTGACATCTAACATTGTATAAGTTCAAGGCATATAGCAACATAGCATGATGGTTTTGTTTTAAGTTTATTTATTTGGAGAGAGAGAGAGAAAGAGGGAGAGAGAGAGAATCCCAGGCAGGTGCTGTACTATTAGTGTGAAGCTCGATGCAGGGCTCAAAGCCACCAACCGTGAGATCATGACCTGAACCACAACCAAGAGTCGGATGCTTAACCAACTGAGTCACCTGGGCGCTCCTGTTAGAGCTGACTATCACAGTAAGGTTAGTTAACACTTCCAAAGAGTGTTTTTGTTGATGGCTCTGCAAAAAGCCCTAGACCTGGACACTGATTGTCCCTGCCTGGGTTAGCGCCCCCCCCCGTCTTTGGCTCAACATAGATTAGGTTAGGCCCACCTCGGAGCCAGCTGCCAATGCTGGAGGCTTTCATCCCATCACATGGTTCCACCCAGATGCTGATACTGATGTTGGTCTAGTACATCTGAATCACTCTAGAATGGGTGTAGGGTTGGTTTCCCCAAGATAAGGGTGTTTGTCCGGAAAGGTGGAAGAAAAAATACTGGACTGAAAAAAAAACCCAAAAAACCCAACGGATGAACAGCTTTCTGTTCTATCCAGTGTCTATGCTTCCATCAAGCTTTCAGAGAAACTCTGTTCCCCAAAAGGGGGTGGGGAACATGGCAAGTCGTCCCTGGATTAGGGAAGGGACAGAAATTAGCGAGCAGATGTGAATATTGGTACTAAAAAGCCTACTTATCAGTAAGTGCTGTGCTCGAATATAAGTATAATTGTTTGATTTTTGTTTTATCAGTAATCTAGAAGTGGGTGATTTTGTTTATATCAACACTAACATGTTTAGCTGAATGATTCTTATTTGTCCTCAAAAATACAGTTTGCTGTGTCTTGCAGAGAGAGGGGTTGCATTCACTCTTTGGTCCCTTAAGGACACACAGCAGGCTGTGAGCTCCCTTGAGGACAGAAAGGGACCTTGGAGACCTCTCATTTGGATTCCTGATGAGCTTTTGACAAGTTCAGAGCCTTAGATCAGAGAATAGGCTGTTACACGGAGAGGCTCTATCTGTGGGGTCTGAACTGACAGCTGTTGAGGAAGATCCGTTCCCTAGTCTCCTGGGTACCTCCACGTCCTCTGAGCCGAGGCCCCATGCCCGCCCCGGGCCCTGCCGTTGTCTTCTCACACCCACTTCTCCAAAATCCCCTCCTCTTCCTCCTCTTCACTCCCTAGTAACTTATTGCCCCTCCCTCCCCCGCTGTGTGGAAACCACTCTTGCCCACGTCACCGCTGACCGACATTTCTTTTGCGACGTCTCCCGGATATTTTCCAGCCCTTATCTGAGCTTCTCTGTTGCATCGTGGATACTGGGGAACATTCCTTCCTTTCCCCTTGAGACGATCTGCTCCCCGGACGGCTCGCTGGTCCTTGCCTCTTTGTTTCTCCTCTGTCTCCTTCGATTACTGTTTCTTTCTTCGCCTACCAGTCCAGCATTGGCATGCCTCCGAGCTCCGTAAACAGGCCTCCCTGGATCCTCTGGCAGTTCCGGCACAAGATAAAGAAGCGGCCGCAGGCTCAGAACTCTGACATTTGTATCAGACCAGAGTTCACCCCGGAGTCTCACATGGACTGTTGCTTCTAGATGTGTCACAGGCTTCTGAAACCAGAAACATCCCAAACTGGGCTCCTTACCCTCCTCTTCAAAGGCTTTCCTTGTCTTCTTCCTTATCTCTGCTGGTGGGGATGGTGGTGGTACCGGGTGTCTAAACTAGATCCCCGGGAGATGGCCTCACCTCCTTTTTTTTGTTTTTTTTTTTAATCCTTTGTCCCTCCTTGAATGAAATAAATAAAATCTTGTTTTATCTATTTGTGGAATGTTTTCTGTGGGTGGGCTGGATTTTGTCTGGCTTTGGTGTCAAGTTTTGGCAATGTTTTATCATTTAACCCAACATAAAATTCGGGAGTTTTTTTTTTTTCTCCCCATTAAAGATCAGATATTGGGTAAGCCTCTGGCTTCAGCTCAGGCCATGATCTCATGGCTAGCGAGTTCGAGCCCCGGGTCAGGCTCTGTGCTGATGGCTCAGAACCTGGAGCCTGCTTCGGATTCTGTGTGCCCCCTGCCTCCCCTACGCTTGCTCTCTTCTTCTCTCAAAAATGAATACACGTTAAAAAGAATTATAAAGATCTGCAAGTTGAACTAGATATGGGAGTAATTTTCAAGCTTTTCTCTTGCAGACACCATGGCCCGAGAAGAGTGACCCCATCCCCTGTTTCCACAATGGAGGACTCGGGAAAGACGTTCAGCTCTGAGGAGGAAGAAACAAACTACTGGAAAGATCTGGCCATGACCTACAAGCAGAGGTCAGTCTTCCTAAGTCCACGTTGCTTTTTCTCCCCATCACTGTGGCAGCAGCCATCGATTTGGGGGCCTCTTAGGCGACAAAGGCGATGAAAGACTTGACACATTGCTCTCCATTGAATCTCCAGACGACCCCGTGAGGAATCACTTCTCCCCCCATTTTACAGATGAGGAAACTGAGCCTCAGGGAAGGCAAGTAACTTGTCCACCAAGGCCACACAGCCAGTAAGGAGCAGGCCTGGGATGTGAGCACCAAACCCTACGGTCCGAAGCAAACTGCTTCTGATCCTTCCCAGCTGATATTCCCGCGGGGCTCCATCGGTTCCGGACGCCTTAGCTGGTCAGCCCCGTGTGTGAGGAAAGAACTTCTCCCTGTCTAGGAGAAGTCTAACAAATTGCATTGTTGCAGATTTTAAATTTGAAAGAAGTGGTTCCGTGTCCATATTTGGGAGGAGAGTGTGTGTTCAGCATTGCATCTGGTTTATTTCTCAGGGGCTCTTACACTCTTCACATGGAGGTCTTACTCCAGTCCCTCTAATTTCCTAATTCTTTTTAACATTTTTTAAAATGTTTATTTATATTTGAAAGAGAGAGAAACACAGAATCCAAAGCAGGCTCCAGACTGAGCCGTCAGCACAGAGCCCGGCACAGGGCTCATACCCATGGTCTGTGAGATCATGACCTGAGCCCAGTTTGGACATTTAACTGAGTGAGCCACCAGGCGCCCCAAATTTCCTTACTGTTAATTTGGCTTAAAGATAATTCAGGCTTAGCATTTTAAAAAAAGTGTTGCTTGACCTTTAAGGATCAGAGAGCTGGAATTGGGGGTTTGAGGTGGGATAAGTAAGCACTTATGTCCAGTTTCCACTTAAAAGTAAAGCTGCAGAGGATATGCAGTCCCACGAATATTTACTACATGTTGAGATAAAAGAAAATATATGTTGAATGAGTGAGTGAAGAGGGAATCGGCTTTGGAGCTGGGCACACCTGGGTCCAGTCCCGAGGTCGGCTTCTGACTCATGCGACCTTGAGGCAAGTCACTCGTCTGATCTCAGCCTCATTTTACCTGTAAAATGAGGTCAGTGATCGTTTCCACCTCAGAAGGTAGTGGAATAAAGAGGTAATCGATGCCCAGCACTGATCAGCCGTACGTGCTCAGCAAATGCCCCCTGACGCGTCCGGGAATTCTGCAGGGCCGAGAACACGCAGGAGGAGCTCCGCGAATTCCAGGAGGGAAGCCGGGAGTACGAAGCCGAGTTGGAGACGCAGCTGCAACAGATTGAAACCAGGAACAGGGACCTCCTGTCAGAAAACAATCGCCTTCGCCTGGAGCTGGAAACCATCAAGGTGAGAGACGATAGGCAGCAGGTGTGGACAGGCTTGCGGGGTGGCGCGGGTGCTGGACCAGGCAGCCTCGCAGCGCGAGGGGCTCGCTCCCGCCCCTGGGCCTGCTGGGAGCACGTGGCGGTTGAACCCTCGTTTGCCCCCGGTGGGAGGAGCTCTGTGGAAGCAAGTGACACATGTGTCCCCGCGGCCCGTTCTTGGGTGTCTGCCACAGTCCCACAAGGTGTGCGAAAGATGGCGTTTTTAGAGTGTGGAGTGTCACTATATTTGCTGGTCATGACGTTCCATAAGGTTCAGAGGTTTGGTAGCCCCCAGCCGGCTGTTGACGTTTAAGTCAAAGTAAATTAAATAAAAATCTTAAGTCCTTGGGGCGCCTGGGTGGCTCCGTCGGTTAAGCATCCGACTTCGGCTCAGGTCGTGATCTCACAGTTCGCGGATTCCAGCCCCCTGTCAGGCTCTGTGCTGACCACTAGCTTGGAGCCTGGATCCTGCTTCGGATTCTGTGTCTCCCTCCCTGTCTGACCCTCCCCTGCTCATGCTGTCTCTCTCTCTCTCTCAGAAATGGATACAACATTAAAAAAAATGTTTTTTAAATAAATAAAAATTTAATTTCTCAGTTACGCCAGCTACGTTTCAGCTGTTCAACAGCCGCTGCATGTCTAGTGGGTACCATTACTGGACAGAGCGATGTAGAATGTTTCCAATATTACGGAAAGTTCTGTTGGACAGTGCCGGCTTAGAGCAGGTTCCCCAGCCTGGACACAGGTAATTTGCAGTTTTGGGGGCTGAGTTTTACATTGTAGGATGTTTGTGTTTGTTTTTTAAAAAAAATTTTTTTTTTAATGTTTTAGTTATTTTTGAGAGAGAGAGAGACAGAGTGTGAGCAGGGGCAGGAGAGGGGCAGAAAGGGAGACACAGAATCCAAAGCAGCCTCTAGGCTCTGAGCGTCAGCACAGAGCCGGATGTGAGTCTCGAACACGTGAACTGCAAGATCATAACCTGAGCTGAAGTCAGATGCTTAACTGACTGGGCCACCCAGGCACTCCATGGTTTTGTTTTGTTTTGTTTTCCTCTTAAGTTTATTTATTTATTTTGAGAGGACAGGGAGAGGGCAGAGAGAGAGAGGAAGAGAGAGAATTCTAAGCAGGCCTTGCACTGCCAGCACAGAGCCTGACATGGGGCTCCATCCCATGACCGTGAGATCAGGGCCTGCACCAAAATCGGGAGTCGGACGCTTCACCAACGGAGCCACCCCGGCGCCCCACATTGTAGGATGTTTAACAGCATCCCTGGTCTCCACCCAGTGGATGCCAGTGGCTCCTTCTCCCCCAGGTTATGACAACTAAAAATATCTTCAGACGTTGCCTTGTATCTGGAAAACCACTGCTTTAAAGGGCAAAGACTACCTTTTGGACATTCTGTAGGGCTTAGCGGATCATTGCTAACGCCGTGCCCTGGAGACTGCGGCCCTCAGCCCTCGCTGCCAGGCAGGGTCACCGGCAAGTTTCCTAAATATCCAGTCTCCATCCATCTGTGGCTGGGGACACAGGCATGTCTGTGTCTTTTTTTCTTTTTCCTTTTTTTTTTTTTTTTTTTTTTAAATAAAGGTCCCCATGTAAATTTTGATGAGCTGCTAGGGGAGGTGTGGTGGATAGTGGAAGGAGATGTGCTCCCAGCCTTCTGGAAGCTTTGTGGGGAAGACAAACCTAACCCCATAAAGCACTTAGGGTAAAGATGCTTGGTTACGTAGTACTGACTGAGGGAGCCTTCAGAGGGAAAGGTCGGTATGTGATGGAGACGGCTTCACAGAGGAGCTGGGAGGGATCTGAGCTGGGTTTGAAGGTGAGAGAGGGTGTGTGTGTGTGTGTGTGTGTGGCCAGCGGATTGGGGTGGAGGGGTTAATGGAGAGTGAATTGGGACCTTCCACAGACACAGACAAGAATGGATGTCAGGCAGACCTGGGAATCCTGGCTTTAAGTGCCTGGGGAAAAGTGGGGCCACCAGATGGATTGGGAGTTGAAGGGTGGGGAGGGGCAGAGGAAGGACCCTAAAGTTCTCAGAAGCCGAGCAGCGGAGTGCACGCTTTTACGTTGCAGACCGCAGACCCCAGCTGGCCAGCTACACACGTCAGTCTGGCACACGCGTGTGTTTTGCGTAGCCTTCTATGGTTTTTTATTCAACATACTATGAAAGTTTCCAAGCACACAGCCTGGTTGAAAGAATATTCCAGTGAGCACCTGTATATCTGCCACCTGGGCTCTACCAATAACCTTTGCTCTACGTGATTTTTATTACCTATCCATCCATCCGTCTACTTTTCTGACACATTTCAAAGTGACTTGCAGACGTCTGTTTACTTCCCCACGAATAGTTCAGCATGCTACTGTTATGTAGAGTTGAGGTTTTGTTTATATGATAGTAAAACTTATGTCTTTAGTGTTCTTTAAATATTTGACATCAGTATTCAAAGTTGTCAGACTTCCTACAAAAGTCTGGATTTCTTTTTTTTTTTTTTTTATTTTTTTTTTTATTTTTTTTTTTTTTTTAATGTTTTATTTATTTTTAGGAGAGAGAGAGACAGCGTGAGCAGGGGAGGGTCAGAGAGAGAGGGATTCACAGACTGAAACAGGCTCCAGGCTCTGGGCTGGCAGTCAGCACAGAGCCCGACGCGGGGCTCGAACCCATGAACCGCGAGATCATGACCTAAGCGAAAGTCAGACGCTTAACCGACTAAGCCACCCAGGCACCCCCAAAAGTCTGGATTTCTGACTTCCTCTGAGAGTCAGCAGACCTGGCATACCAGGCCACATCAGCGAAAAGCCATGTAGTGGTTAAATGCTCACCAGTCCATCCCAGTCCCCACTACCGTCCCCCACCTCTCTCTCTGACACCGAGGGACCAGTGTCCCTTGCTTTATCCCTACACTTGGCCCACGCAACTCATAACAGCCTGACCCCTGCAGGCATTAGTATTTGACCCTTTCCATGGACACTGAGGAGCATTATAGCTCATTAATATGAAGGGACCCCAGGGATGGGAAGGTCTGTGGAAGGAAGATCAGCCAACGGCGTAAATGATAGTTGGGAGAGGGAACAAGGCTCTCCACGGTGGCAGACTAACATCGAGCAATTATGAAGTAATTGCTTCAAGACCTTCAAGACTGAGCCCTTGAACGTGGAGAAGACCTTGTTATGACAGAGACATGACAGGCATAGGAGGCGCGGAGCATAGAGCAGGAGAAGAAATAGAGATACCTTGGAATAAAGCATGCCTCCCTAGGGGCGTCTGGCGGGCTCAGTCGGTAGAGCGTGCAACTCTTAAATTGTTTTTTTTTTAAGTTTTTTTTTTTGTTTTTTTTTTGAGAGTCCTAAGCAGGCTCCACACTGTCAGCACAAAGCCTGATGTGGGGCTTAAACTCAAAAACCGTGTGGTTACCACCAGAGCCAAAATCAAGAGTCGGATACTTAACCGACTGAGCCACCCAGGCGCCCTGAGCGTGTGACTCTTGATCTTGGAGTTGTAACCCCACACTGGGTGTAGAGATCACTTAAAAAAAAAATTAATTAAAAATAAATAACTGCCACTAGCAAATATTTGTCAGTCACCTAAGGGGAATGTATTCAGCTGTCAGACTCCTTGACAGCTGGCTTATTCATCACAAGTTGAATGAAAAGGCCTAGAAGGGATCAAACAGTGTCTGTTGAAGCCTCCATCAGCCGACAGCTTATAATAATTAGCGCCAAACGAAAGCGCAGTGTTTGGCAACAGCTTTTCGTGTCCGCCAAGTTCAAAGGACACCATTTGAATCTGAATGCTGGTGGAGAAGCCCGCTAACCGCATCTTCTTGAACCTGTGTTTGAATTGAGGTTAATGACCTAGGATCCCATGCCTTCCTGTTTTATTTGGAGATGCACCCAAAGAAAGGATGTGAGGCATCGGGGCTTAGTCTGTCCCTCCTCAACTGACCGGGGGTGCTTCCTCCGCTGTGGCAGTACCAGAGGGGACCAGCCAGGAAACAGAGTATCAGAGGGGACCCAACAGTGTGAGGATGTGGAATGCCCTCCCTGCCCTCACCCTGTAAATAATCTGCTTGTTCTGTGGGAGTTCGTCTTCCACAGGGCTCCCGCCACGCCTCTCTGGCCAAGGCACCATGATGTCATTCTCCCAGGGCACCCAGACTGTTGGTAGCAACGCCTTTGTTGACTCCAGTGAGTGAAGAAGAGCTTGACTGTTTTTCAAACTTTCTGGTGTGACTTTGGGCCTGTCCTGTGGGAAGTGTTTTCTTTTGTGTGTAAATGAAGGGAAAGCAGTACACGTGTTTGGTGAAGGAAGATAATTTGAGAGAGGAGCCAGAGCAGAATGTGTGTGTGCGCATGTGCGGGCAATACCCATGTGACCTGTAATGAAATGGTTGAGGGCACTTTAACGTAGGGTTTTTTTGTTTGTTTTTTGTTCTTAATTTTTTTATTTACTATTTTGAGAGAGAGGGTGTGAGTGGGGGAGAGGCAGAGAGAGAGAGGGAGACACAGAATCCAAAGCAGGCTCCAAGCTACAAGCTGTCAGCACAGAGCTGGACACGGGGCTTGAGCCCACGAACCACGAGATTATGGCCTGAGCTGAAGTGGGACGCTCAACAGACTGACCTACCCAAGTGCCCCTAGTACAGTTGTTTTAAAACACAAGCCCTGGGCCGCCTGGATGGCTCAGTTGGCTAAGTGTCCGACTTTGGTTCAGGTCGTGATCTTACGGTTTGTAGGTTCGACCCCATGTCAGGCTCTGTGCTGACAGCTCAGAGCCCGGAGCCTGCTTCAGATTCTGTGTCTCCCTCTCTCTCTGTCCCTCCCCCGCTCATGCTCTGTCTCTGTCTCTTTCTCTCTCTCAAAAATAAATAAACATTAAAAAGAAAAAAAAAAAAAGGAAAGGCACAAGGCCCCGTGGCCCAGATTGGTTGTAGGCTCAGGCATTTGCTACCAGTTGACTTTGGGCTAAGGAAGTAGCCTCCATTCACATCTCTGAAATGGCATTTGTTGCGGCAACATAAGCACAGTCCTGAGCCCAGAAGCTGGCCCAGAGCGAGCCTACGATGAATGTTAGTTGCTGCAGTAGTTAGTTGCTGCAGAATGTTATTTGCTGGACAGCAATAGATCATTAAGTTGTTCAACTATCCCCTTCCTTGGAAAGCCTTGGTTAAATCACACTAAGCTACTTGTGGTTAGTAATAAGTTGTGGGTTTTTTTTGTTTCCTTCCTTGCTTTCCTCACCTCCCTCCCTTCCTACCTTCCCTCCTCCCCTCCCTCTCTCTCTCCCTACCTTCCTTCTTTCTTCCCTTCTTCCCCCAAAGGCCCCCAAATCCCTTCTAACCCCCTATGCTACAGGGGGAGTGTCCTGGATCACAAAGTTAGAACAGTTGTCAAACGAAGTACATGGTTTTCTGCTCTTATTACAAGACACCAGCAACCAAAGCCATTGTGGGTCCTGATATGTAATATGGGGACATCGCATGAAGTGGATTTGTATTGCCCTGTGGATGATGCTTGGAGATGTTCGTGTGGTTTTCTGTGGCTGTGTGGATGCCTTGAGCAAAATGATCGCTTTGAAGATTGTTGGGGCTTCTTACCCAGAGGCTGCAGGAACCAGGTTTGGGAGGGGGTGAGGTGCAAGGTGCTAGTGGGCTGGGAGGCAGGAAGCACTTGGTACATAAGAGCTTTGAGTGGTGGCCCCCGTTCTCTCCATTTGCCTTCCCTTGGTTCAGAGTCCATGTCTGGAGAGAAGGTTCTACTGAGGTTCGGCTTGTACCCTTGGCTCTGGTGGGTGGCCACGAGGATGTCTGGAGCCTCCTTAGAGAGTATGAGAAGACTGGTCTGATAAAGATCCTATACTAAGGGGGAGCTAAATCCCTTACAGAAATCAGGGCACTGACAGGCTGTGCCCACGGGGGGTGTCGGGGTGGGGGGAACGGATGCTCCCCTGCCAAGAATGACAGTGTCCACTATAACAGGAGTGTGCGTGAGGCAGGAGTGACCCTCAGTATTTTCAGGCAGTGCCAGGGAAGGGAGATAAACACAGCTTCCCAGACGTCCTAAATCATACACTCCATGTTGATTTTGACCTTCAGGACAAGTTTGAAACGCAGCACTCGGAAGGCTACCGGCAGATCTCAGCCTTAGAGGATGACCTCGCCCAGACCAAGGCGATTAAGGATCAGCTTCAGAAATACATCAGGGAGCTGGAGCAAGCAAACGACGACTTGGAAAGAGCAAAACGGTACGTCGGGAAGGAGAAGACCGGTTTTGGAGCCTTATTCTCCGCCCTTGGCTCCCAGTACCTGGGTACCAAGTACTGTGTTGAGTATAGAGGATTCAGCCGTGAGCCAAACCAAGCCAGTGACCTTCTAGGAAATGGACAGCACACAGATAAGTGCAACTTAATTACAGCAGAAAGAGCTGCAAGTCCAGGGTGCAAGGGGGGCACATGACCCGATGCATAGGTTTGGCCGTTGGGTAAATGTCAGACAAGGCTTCCCAATGGGGGTGGCACTTAGGCTAAGTCCAGGGGGAAGAGTATGAGGTGAGAACATTCCAGGCAGAAAGACAAACATGAGCCAATTACCACCCTAAGGTAAGCGTGTTCAAAGAACAGTATTTCTTTGTAAATGTTTGTGTATTTTTGAGGAATGCGAGTAGGGGAGGGGCAGACAAAGGGGGAGCAGAAGATCTGAAGTGGGCTCCGTGCCCGACTCGGGGCTTGAACGCAGGAACTGTGAGATCATCACCTGAGCTGAAGTCAGACACGCAACCGACTAAGCCACCCAGGCGCGCCCAAAGAACAGTATTTTGTAAACTGACATTCTGCTGTTGAGCAGAATAATACCTACCAATAATAACTTTTATTGAGTAACTACTCTGTGCCAGCCCCCCCCCCTTTTTTAAATGGAAACACTTTAAAAATGAGATATAAATTGCATACAGTGGCGTGCACAGATTTTAAGCGGAAGTTCACAGCACTTTGGGCAAATTGCGTATGCATTCACGTGACACACACTCTTGTTAAGCAGGGGTGGCTTCGTGCTGCCCTCCCAGACCCCTGCCTCACTTTGTAGTGGCTGCTGTAGGATCGCAACATTAACTTCATGATCACGTAAAATGCAACAGCCTTGCAACCTTACAACTTGATTTTTATCATCCTTGAACTTTAGGCTTTACTTGTAATACTACTATGTCTACGAATGCTGTGGATTCTGCAACACTTTGCTGTCACTTTTGCTTTAAAAGGCCAAGTATATTTTATTTTATTAAAAAAATTTTTTAACTGTTTGTTTACTTTTGAGAGAGAGACAGAGAGACAGTGTGAGTAGGGGAGGGGCACAGAGAGAGGGAGACAGAATCTGAAGCAGGCTCCAGGCTCTGAGCTGTCAGCACACAGCCCGATGTAGGGCTCGAATTCACGGATTACAGGATATGACCTGAGCTGAAGTCAGATGCTTACCGACTGAGCCACCCAGGTGCCCCTAAAAAGCCAAGTATGTTTTAAAGAAATTAGGAGAGTAAAAAGATAGCCTTTTATATTTACCCACATACTTACCGTTTCGGGTACATTCCTTCCTGAGGATCTGGGTTTCCCTCTGGTATCCCCTCCCTTTGGCTTGAAGAACCTCCCTTAGGATTTTGTACAGCGAAGGTCTGCTGATGGTAATGTCTCCTTATTTTAGTTTATCTCAAAAGTGTCTTTCTTTTGCCTTTATTCTCTTTTTCTTTTTTTAAGTTTATTTATTTTAGAGAGAAAGAGAGCAGGGGAGGGGCAGAGAGAAAGGGAGAGAGAGAGAATCCCAAGCAGGGCTTGAACTCATGAACAATGAGATCATGACCTGAGCCGAAGTCGGATGCTTAACGGACTGAGTCCCCCAGGCTCCCCTGCCTTCATTCTTGAAGGTTATGTCCACTGGATGTAGAATTCTGGGTTGATAGTTATTGTTTGTTTGTTTGTTTTCAGTGGGTTTTTTGACTGTCTTTTGTTTCCCTTGCTTCAGGTCAGAAGTTAGTGGTCATTTGAGTGGTCACTCGTCAGTATATAATCTGTTTTTTTTCTGGCTGCTCTCAAATTTTTCTCTTAAATTTTTGTTTGCAGTAGTTTGATTATGATACCTCAATGTATCTTTTTTTTAAGCGTTGGATTTAACCAGAATTTTTTTTTAAATTTCCTTAAGTAATTCTCTATACCCAACTGACGACCCTGAGATCAGGAGTTGGATGCTCTTTGACTGAGCCAGCCAGGCACCCCTGTATGTATTTACCCCGACAGGGTTTCCTGGGCTCCTTTAGTCTGTAAATTTCTCCGTTGACAAATTCAACTTTGGTCATGATTTTCTCAAAGACCTGCGCTGGCCCATTCTTTCTGTCTTCTGTCCTCTGGGACCCCAGCTACACACGTTACTCCTTTTGATAATGGTCACATAGGTCTCTGAGGCTCTGGTCCTTTTTATCTTTTCTTCCCTCTAATATTTTTTCTTTCGGTGTTTCAAATTGGATCGTTTCTATTGATCTAGTTTCAAGTTCACTGCATCTTTCTCTCCAGTCTGCTTTGATAAGCCAATTCCAATAAAGTTTTTAGATATTGTATTTTCAGTTCTAGAATTTCCTTTAAAAAAAAAAAAAAGTAGTAATTTAAATTTCTCTACTGTGGCTTCTCTTTATATCCTTCTTTCTTTCTTTTTTAATGTTTAATTTATTTCTGAGAGAGAGCGTGAGCAGGGGAGGGTCAGAGAGAGAGGGAGACACAGAATCTGAAGCAGGCTTCAGGCTGCTCCGAGCTAGTTGTCAGCACAGAGCCCAACGCAGGGGCTTCTCTTTATATCCTTGAGCATAGCTACAGTAGCTACTTTATTTTTTTTAATGTTCATTTATTTTGGGTGGGGGGCAGAGAGAGGGGGACACAGAATATGAAGCAGGCTCCAGGCTCCAGTCTGTCAGCACAGAGCCCTACACGGGGCTCGAACCCATGAAATGTGAGATCATGACCTGAGCCAAAGTCGATTGCTTAACTGACTGAGCCACCTAGGCGCCCCATAGTAGCTACTTTAAAGTCTTTTTCTGCTAATCTAATATGTAGGTTACCTCAGCGCTAATTTCCACTGATTGCACTGATTGTATTTTTTCCAGAGTTTTCGTCTTTTTTTTTTTTTTTTGGTCTGTTAACTAGGCTGAACTAATGTTCCAAACTATTTTCCCTTTATGGCCAGTAGCTGAAATCTGTTTTATTCTTTTTATTATTCTTTTTATTTATTTGTTTTGAGACAGCCCATGAGAACAGGGGAGGGGCAGAGAGCGAAGGGGACAGAAGATCCGAAGCAGGCTCTGTGCGGACAGCAGAGAGCCTGATATGGGGTTCGGACCCATGAACTATTAAATCATGACTTGAGGCGAAGTCAGACGCTCAACTGACTGAGCCACCCAGGCATCCTCGTTTTATTCTTTCAGCCTGAGCCAGGCTGCTTCAAGTCTGCTATGCAGATGCATGGTCCCGGGGCTAGCCAGAGACGTGGGAAGAGAATTTGGGACTCCCATGTGGTGGTGGATTTCTATCACTGGAGCTGTAGGCCGAAAACTCACAAAGATGCAAAATTCACTCATATTTCATTGATCAAAGCAAGTCACGTGGCCCAAGTCAAGAGCTGGAAAAGTACATTCCACTCACAGTGAGGCTGTGGCAACGATGTGGCTGCAGGAAGGGAGGGAGAATGGGGACCCGTAATGCAGTCTTCCATGAAGATAGTACATTCATGTGGCTTGAAACTAATATACCAAGGGTAGAGTTTTTTATGCAAATTCAGGCAAATCAAATTATAAATTGGTATTATCCCTACCCTCCTCCCCAATAGTATCTTGTACACCCTGTTGTCCATCTTTCACGTAACAGTAGATCCTGGAGATCTTTCTGTATCAGGCCACAGAGCATTCTTTGTTCTTTTTCTCCCCCAAGTGCATAATATCTTATTGTATGGTTGGTATTGCATAATACATAATAATTTGTTTGTCCAGTTCCCTGTGGATGGCTAGCTGCTACATTTGCATTCTTGTGTGGTGATCAGCACTGCTGTGATGAATGATAAACAGTGCTTGCACAGATGTTTATCTGGAGAATTAAATCCCCAGAAGTGACGCTGCAGGGTCAAGGGACAGATGCAAATGTGATTCTGATAGTTATTGCCCATTTGTTCTCTCTGTAGTTGTATCGCTTTACATTCCCAGTGACTGTGTGTGTCAGTCCTCTGTTCCAGACAGCTTCCCAGAGTGGTTTTCCAACTTTCAATTTCTGCCAGTCTAGTCAATGACCAGTAGCTACATTTCTGAATTATACATGACATAGGTTCCTTTTCATATATTTAAGAACTATTTTTATTTCTTTTTCTGTGAACTTGGCCTTTTTTTTTTTTTTAACTTGGCATGTTGGTGGTTTCCCACTTCTAAGAGATTTTTTAAATATATTTGTGATATGAATTGAAAATATTTAGGGGCGCCTGGGTGCCTCAGTCGGTTAAGCATCTGACTTCGGCTCAGGTCATGATCTCATGGTTCATGAGTTTGAGCCCCTTGTTGGGCTCTCTGCTGACAGCTCAGAGCCTGAAGCCTGCTTTGGATTCTGTCTCCCTCTCTATCTGCCCTGCCCCCACTCATGCTCTGTTTCTCTCTGTCTCTCTCTCAAAAATAAACATTTAAAAAAAGAAAATATTTAGAATTTGTCACTTGTCTTCCAGCTCTGTCTATTGTATACATGACTGTCAAGTTATTTGAGCTCTCTGTATTCCAATTTATCAGTCACCGTGGAAAGGCTTTCTGCAGTCCAGGGTTTATAAAGCAATTAGCCTGTGTTTTATTTTGTTTTTCCCGTTTCTTTCTTAGATTTCTTTGTGTGTGTGTGTGTGTGTGTGTGTGTGTGTGTGTGTGTGTGTGTGTGATTAAAAGAGGCACTGAATTCACATTTTGGACAAATGCTGAGTATTTGGGTGTTCAAATCAGATGAGGCAGAGATGAGGCCCCCAGTCATTATCATAGAATGAATAAAGTTCTCAAATTCTGAAGTTTTATATTTAAAAAACCTTGAGGGCACCTGGGTGTCTCAGTCAGTTGAGCGTACGACTCCTGATTTTGGCTCAGGCCATGATCCCGGAGTCATGGGATTGAGCCCTCTGTCAGGTTCTGTGCTGAGCATGGACCCTGCTTGGGATTCTCTCTCTCTTTACCTCTGCCCCTTTCCCCTGCTTGCACTCACTCTCTCAAAAAAAAAAAAAAAAAAAAAAAATCAAATAAAAAAACCCCTCAAAAACAGTGTAATTTTATTTTAGTAGGATATTCTGAATACTGATTTGGTTTGTGAGTCTCCGAGAGAAGATGGAGTTTGCTGCCCTTGGCATTGGACCCTGTACGTTGTCCTCAATAAGGCTCTGGCTCGTACAGCTAAGTGCTGTATGGACAGTTCTCTCTCTCTCTTTTTTATTTAAATGTTTATTTTTGAGTGAAAGAGAGAGAGCGTGAGCAGGAGAGGGGCAGAGAGAAGGAGACACACAATCCAAAGCAGGCTCCAGGCTCCGAACTGTCAGCATAGAGCCCGGTGCAGGGCTTAAACTCACAGACCACAAGATCGTGACGTGAGCTGAAATGGGACGCTTAACTGGCTGAGGACCCCCCAGGCCCCCTGGTCATTTCTCATTTACTCCTCAGGACACCTTTGTGTCCCTCAGGAGCTTGGATGATTCTCATTCTGCAGGGAAAGAGCCTGGGTCCCAGAAGGTTAAGATGCTTGCTCGGGTCTGTGGTGTCCAGGCCGTGCGGGCACTCATCCCCGCTGTGTCTGACCTCTGTAGGCACCAAACAGATGCCACTGTTTGCTCTCTGGGACAACTTTGCTTTTCTCCTACCAGGGCCACAATCATGTCTCTGGAAGACTTTGAGCAGCGTTTGAATCAAGCCATCGAAAGAAATGCCTTCCTGGAGAGTGAACTTGATGAGAAGGAGAATCTTCTAGAATCTGTTCAGCGACTGAAAGATGAAGCCAGAGGTCAGAAAGACTTGGCTTTGTTCTGTGTGCCCTCACTGGTGTCCCCTCTCCCTACCTGAGTGTTGCCCAGTGTCACCTCTACTGGAAATCCCTGCTCTGGTCGTAGGGTGTAGAATCGCACCGGGCAGGCTTTAGCCTCGGTCCCCACCCCATCGTGAGGACCGCCAGTTGTCCAACCCTGTAAATATGTATTTACACCACCACTGGCTTTTTGTTCAGTAGGAGTATACGGCTTTGTGGGGAGAAAAGGTTTGGTGACGGATTTGCTGGCGAGCCTGTTGTCTCTGTGACTCGATGGCAGCTCGTGCACGTGTCTCATAGCTCTGAATTCCCGTCAGCATTTGCTCCGTGGAAGCTTGCAGTTCCGGGGGTAGATCGGGGTACAGAAGAACTTCCTGAACATCCCAATTGATTGTTAATAACACGAATTTAGTTTCTAACGTAGAGCGGGTAGAAGGGGGATGACAAAGAAAAAACTCTCCGTTTGGAAGGTAGTTGAGAATCGGTTAAATCAGTGACAGAGATTCATTTTATTTCGTGGAATGTTTAACAGTTGTTAAAACACAAAAGGAATAGATGTGAATATAGTTAGATTAAGAGCCATCGTTGAAGGAAGGTAAGTCATAGACAGTAAATTTGTTGCTATTTATGCTTAATAAGAATTATTCCTATCACATGCTTAAGCGATAATATAGAAACTGTATGTCTGAAAATGCAGAGAAAGAAGGGTTGAAAAGATCTCCCCCATAGGGATTGGTTGGGACAGTGTTATTTTCACTCAGTATTCTCTACGCCCTGTTGTGCTAGAAATGTTTTGAAACGAGAAAAGCATAGTGTGTCTGCCACTGCCATAGTTTTTCAAAATTTTTAAACCTTTTTGTTTTTAGTTTTGTTTTTAAGTAGGCTCCTGGCCCAATGTGGGGCTTGAACTCTCAACCCCGAGATCAAGAGTCACACGTTCTACTGACAGAGCCAGCCAGGTGCCCCTAAGCCTCTTTGTTTTTATTTTAAAAATCATGTAGTTTCACAAGCCTGCTCAGCAAGGTCCTGTGGGTGTCACTCCCCTGAGGGTTTCTGCCTGTGCATTTTCATGCTGGTGCTTCTTTGCCCTGGCCAGTGTCACTGTCCTCCCTCCCTGTCCCCCGTCACCCGAAGCAAGGGCTTACGGTGCATCCTTGTCCCGGCTCAGATTTGCGGCAGGAATTGGCTGTACAGCAGAAGCAGGAGAAACCCAGGACGCCCATGCCCAGCGCCGTGCAGGCCGACAGGACAGACATGGCCGTGCAGGCCACTGGCTCCGTGCCGTCCACCCCTGTAGCTCATCGGGGACCCAGCGCCGGCTTAAACACCCCGGGGACCTTCAGACGTGGTGAGGGACGGCCGGGGAGGATGTGCTTTTCTTCACCAAGCTTTCCCAGGGGGAGGTGGGGGGGGAGCTAGTGGGGGGGGTTGGGAGGTACCTGGGGCAGTGGGGGAGGTGCCAGGGGCTATGGTCGGGGGTGGGTGCTGGAGGGGGTGCTGGCACCGGCTGTGCTATGGGGAGCCAGCTGGGGTGCTTGCGGGGGCGGAGCTCAGACACAAGTGGGAGGAGCTCCATTGTGAGGCAGTAGGGAGCGATGGAGTCTGCGGAAGGCAGGAAAATGGAAGCTTCTTCCCAGGGGCGGTGGCCACTCAGCTCCCACCCCACACAATGTGGGCCCTGCATGAGCAGACGTTTCCGGTCTTCCGGTCTTCATCAGCCAGAAATTCTCTGCTTGAGCATGAACTCTCCTAAAAATAACATTCCGATGACCAGATAAAAGATTTACGGAGCATCTGTGGGTCTAGCGATATGTGCATCTAGAACTGGAGCCAGTGTAACCTGGGCTGCATGGTAAAAAAAAAAAAAAAAAAAAAAAAAAATTGAGAAATTTGAGTTTTTGCCCCAGCTGCTCTGATTCACAGAGGCTGTTACTGGGCCTCTTATTGGCAAATAACAGTAGACAGTTACTGAGTGCTCCGTGTGTGCTGGTAGCCACTCTGCTTAAAAGGCTTTGCATACGACCTCCCTGAATTCTTACCACAGGCCCAAGATGCACGTGCTGTGCCCATTTGATGGATGAGGAGACTGAGGCCCCCAGGAGAGTAGCTTGCCTCAAGTCATACAGATGACAAATAGCAGAGTTGGGATTCAGACTCAGGCCAGCTGGCTCCCGGGCTCAACTGCCAATTCCTGCCGTATCCCTAAGCTTGTCCCAGAATGAAGAGACTGGAGACATTTCCAGAATCCCAGTCTAGAGCAGTGTTTTCCACGCTTCAGTATGCACGTGACTCAGCGGGGCACCTCGTTCAAATGCACCCGAGTCTCCGCGGGGCCGGACAGGACCTGAGATCCTGTATCCTAACCAGCACCCTGGCGATGCTGGTGCCGCTGGTCCCCGGCTCCCGCTGGGAGGACAGAGCCTCCGGGGAGGTAGGACCCCTACCAGCATGGTTTGTTTGGACGCTGTTCACGTCCGTTACCTGTAGGGAATTCATAGAATTTCAGGAAGACTTATTTGGATTTTGTTTTAAAAGTAACGGGTAAAGATGAACACTGAATACAGTCATTGTAAGGCTGCAAAAGGTTGGTGGTCACGCGGGCTCTTGGTGTGTTAGTTAATTCTTGAGTGAAACGGGGGCAGCATGAGGGGGGCAGTGTTAGCTCCCCTCCCTCCCCCACCGGGGCTCCGCATTTAGGGACGTTAGTGCACCAGCGTATGACCGGGGATCCCGGGGATCGCTGTTACACGTGCTCGCTTTGCACACGCAGGTCCGGATGACTCCACGAGCGGGACCCCCCTCACACCCGCAGCCCGGATATCAGCCCTCAACATCGTGGGAGATCTGCTGCGCAAAGTAGGGGTAAGGCTGCCTCCTCCCCGGGATTTGGTGTGGCTCCCTGCCTGTGTTTCAGGGTATCGGAGAGTGGTCGCCTTACCGCCTCCTTTTCCCTGTAACAGAGACTTCCTGCAGCCATGTCCCTGAGCGTCCTCCAAGCTCCTCTGGGCCTTGCTGACAAATACCCGGAGCCCAGACCGCGTCAGCCCTTTGATCCCTGCGCGGATCTGTCTTTCCCTGCCAATTTTCCTTGGAGTGCGGGAAACCTGCTTGCTGTCTGTGGTTTTTTTCTTAATTTGAGAAAGCTGAGAAACATCTGAAAATTGCCCTTTCCTTTTAAATGAGGGAGTTAAAGACTACATCTCAAAAGGCGAGAGCAGAGACCTCAACTTGAGGTTTTATATTTGCTACAGGGCAAGATTGTTTTGTGCTTAAGAATTAACACAAGAATTAACGCGCCTGGGTGGCTCAGTCTGTTAAGCGTCTGACTTCGGCTCAGGTCATGATCTCATGGTTCGTGGGTTCGAGCCCCGCGTCGGGCTCTGTGCTGACAGCTCAGAGCCTGGAGCCTGCTTCAGATTCTNGGGCTCTGTGCTGACAGCTCAGAGCCTGGAGCCTGCTTCAGATTCTGTGTCTCCCTCTCTCTCTCTGACCTTCCCCTGCTCATGCCGTCTCTCTCTCTCTCTCTCAAATATAAATTTAAAAAAACATTAAAAAAAAGCATTAACACAGGCATTCTCTGTAGTTGTGGCTTGTATGTTTTCACACGATGCCTGGAGCAGCACGTGACTGAGCTCCTAGCAGCCCTGTCTACTAGAACGTATGCGGTCAGAGCTGCACCTGCCTAGAAGCTTGCAGCCCTTTGCTCAGGTTTTTGCTTTTAGGCCTGGTGTCTGGTTTTCTGTTCTGTAAACATGTGTCTCTCTTAATGTTTTGCACAATTAGCACATAGATAAGCCTGGGGTGGTCTCTGTGCCCTCTTGGTTTATATGAGGGCTCTTTCCAGCAGAGCACAGCCCTCCCACACGAGCCACTCTGTGCACATTTAATAAGGGCAAGCAAAAGAGTAGATCATCCCGAAAGTTGACTTCCTATTTCCCATAGGCGGACCTGGATCATTGGCAGGGTTAGTGATTTTCCAGGAAGCTCCTAAATGTCTTAGGCCCGTGGCTCTAAAAGTTGGAGGAGTGTTGGATTCCATCAGGGCCCCACTTTTGGAATTGCAGCCTACAGCCCCCTTCCAGAACCACCGTTTGAAGTCATTGTCTGTGTCCGGGCTCTGGGGAGAGGCGAGTTCTGATCTTTAAGCTGAAAGCGTGTTTCTCTGCAGGCACTGGAGTCCAAACTTGCATCCTGCCGGAACTTTGTGTACGATCAGTCCCCAAACCGAACAAGCGGCCCAGCCCCGGGGCGAGGGGGCAAATACAGAGACGGCGGCGAGAGACAGCCAGGCAGCACCGGCGTGCCTCTAGGTGACAAAGGGTCAGTACTTTCAGCTGTGCGCGCAAGGCGGGAGCCTCTGAGCCCTGACCAATAGCCATTTCATAAAAGTTGCAGCGGTATGTCAGTGAACCTTATCCTCTACCGCCTTGAGACCAAGTGAGGTGGTGACTTGCGGTTAAGGGGAAATGTGGAAATGTCCAGGAAGAGGCTCGTTGTTAGTATTCAAATCTGTAGCCCCAGCTCCTGGTCATGCTGTGAGAATGTCCTGCATGAAACGCTTGTTTGGGACTTGAGCTTCAAACGTTGCTCTGTTCCCCCCGGAGGAGGACTTTTTTCATTTTAAAAAAAAATCCTTAGAACCTCAGGAAACGTATTAAATTCCAGCCAGACTAGATGGGAAAACACAACTCTGGCAGCTTTGGGTAGTTTTGTTGCTTGAGGAAGATCAGGACAGCTTCCAGATTCGTTAATTTTCTAAGCTGGGCCGCCATCTTCCTGGACCCCAAGCTGAGTCACTTTGGTAGATGTGTGGCAGGCAGGGAACAAAGAATATTTTTCCAGGGCATGCATGTAAGTTCTGACCCTGTCGAAGAGGATGTTCTTTAGTGGGTCTTCTGTGACTGGGCTTTTCGTGTAGCCTTGGGAATGTGCGAGCTAGATGGCCAGTGTCCTTTTCTTCATTTCGCAGGAGAGAAAATTGACACCCAGGGAGACCCGGCTCCTGCCTCTTGCTATTCACTCTTAGGGCTTTGTGGGCCCCAGTGCTCGCCAGTCTGTCACAGCTGTAATGTCCACCTAATCTGGTTTGCTCTGTCTGAAGGTTGGGAAAACGACTGGAATTTGGGAAGCCGCCTTCAAATACTTCCTCGCCGTCGCTGCCGTCAGCCCAGGGTGTAGTCAAGATGTTGCTTTAGGAAACCCACGGAAGCCGAAGCCCCTCGTGTGTCTGTGCGGGAGTCGTTACTTTTCTTTCCCTTCTTCTACTAGGTTTTTGCTTTTTGTAAGTTAGTTTGAGAAATATGAGCAAGCAGTCACACTGGCCACCGAGGCCGTCGCCTGTGGCCCCCGGTAGCTGTCCCCGTGAAATGTTGTCTCATCCACCCCAGCCTCCTGGCCAGTGCGTTTCAAATGGACGGGGACAAACCGGACCCTCTGGACAGGGCTCTGAGGTGTGGGTGCTGTGGCCACCCCATCATTTTGAGCTGACCCAAGTGTTGATGGAGTTGGGGATGTGTTTTTAATGGCTGGAGATGCCTTAAAGAAGGGATATGAGCCCCACCTCAGGCTCAGGCTGTCTCCTGAACAAAGTGTCCTTGATCTTTGCCACGGGGAGGGTCTGTGTACTGACATCATGTCTAAGAGAGAAGAGTAGACTAGGCATGTGCCTTTTTTTTTTTTTTTTTTTTTTTAGAAAACACGCTCTGGTGTAGTGTACGTCTGGCACTTGCTCTGCCTCTCACTGAGGCCGTGCGAGCTGTGCCTGTGTTTCATGGGAGATCTTGTGTGGACCGGGTCACTGGAAACACCTGTGTCCTCTTACGATCAACCCTGGTAGTCGGGTTTCCCGGAACCTGTGCCCTAGCCCTGGGGGTGACCTCCCCTGACGGCCGTTGGGGTGGCATGGCCTTGTGAGTACAGCCTGTAAGAACCGAACTTTGTTCGGAGCCATGATACAGTAACCAGGATGGCCTCGAAGTAGGATCGAACCATAGGACCGTTGGTGGAAGCATCCTTGTGAAAGAAGAAACAAACACGGGATTTTCACGCGGACAGAGTGCATGCTCAGCCCTGCCTGTCACACTTTCAGAGACACGTTAAAAAGGACACGTGAATTCGGGAGCACGCACGCAGCTTAACCACCCTTTGTTACTAAGTTATTTTTCCAAGAGAATAGCAGAAATATCATTGCGTTGAAAATAGAACTTTTCAAGTGCTTTTGAAATTCAACAGAGAACTAGTCTCTGGTGCCCAGTTCATTACCCTGGGAACATTCTAACCTGTATTGGGAAAAGACGGACTTCTATTTTTTTAAAAGAACAATAAAGTCAAGAGAAACTCATTTTCCACTAGTCGGTGGTGGTGGTGGTGGTGGATAAATGCTGCCTGATTTGTGCCTTGATGTTTGCTCGTACGGTGGCAAAATGTTTGTTTTTGAACCAAGTAACCAAATATGAAAAGCCCCGACTAAAAGAAAATTCCACTTCAGGTCAGCTTCTTAAAAGCATATTTGGGGTATGTTTGTGTATTGTTGAGGGCAGGTTCGCATTTGGCCATTGGCTTGAGTTTTCCCGTTTCCATGTCTCTTCTCAAATGTATCTGACCTCACGGAGTCAGTGTGCAGAATCACTTTCTGTCGAATAGAACTTGGACCAGGACAGGACCCATGGCCTGGTTTCGCATGGCCCCTGTAGTGAGAAAGGTTTTTGTGTTTTTAAAGTTAAAAAAAAAATGGGGGCGCCTGGGTGGCTTAGTCGGTTAAGCGTCCGACTTTCGCTTAGGTCATGATCTCGCGGTTTGTGGGTTCGAGCCCCGCTTCGGGCTTTGTGCTGACTGCCAGCTCTGAGCCTGGAGTCTTTTTCAGAGTCTGTGTCTCCCTCTCTCTCTGACCCTCCCCTGCTCACGCTGTCTCTCTCTCTCTCTCCTAGAAATAAATAAAAATATTAAAAAAATAAATAAATAAATAAATAAAAAAATGGAAAGATGAACATGTGACAGAGACCACATGTCACCCAAAATATTAAATCTTGGCCTTTACAGAAAAAGTTTGTTGAAAAAAAGTCTGGGGCACCTGAGTAGCTCTGGGGGTGGAGCATCTATCTGACTCTTGATTTCAGTTCAGGTTGTGATCCCAGAGTTATGGGATTGACCCCTACATCAGGCTCTGCATTGAATGAGGAGCCTGCTTGGGTTTCCCTCTCACCCTCCCCACCTCTGCCCCTCTTCTGCTCAAGCACCCCTGCTCGCTCACTCTCTCTCTCAAAGAAAGAGAACTTTGTTGATTTCTGCTGAAGTCCTGTGTTTTAACTTTAAAATTCTAGGATATCTTGGGGCGCCTGGGGGTTTCAGTCAGTTGAGCTTTCAACTGTGGCTCAGGTTGTGATCTTGCAGTTCGTGAACTCAAACCCTGCATTGGGCTCTGTGCTGACAGCTCAAAGCCTGGAGCCTGCTTCTGATCCTGTGTCTCCCTCTCTCTCTGCCCCTCCCCCGCTCGTGCTCTCTCAAAATAAATAAACTTAAAAATTTTTAAATTCAAGGATATCCTATATCCTTCACGGCATGTATGTATGAGTTTTGGTTGATAAGGATGTTCTTCGTGGTCAAGTTCCTACTTCCAGGGCTGGGAGCTGCCTGCCTCTGCTTGGAGAAGTCCCTTCACAGAGACTCACGTGACCTCTCTGGTTTCTTTTTTGGCAGGGCGGGGGAGGGGTAGCTGTGGGATGTCAGACAACTTGTTTCCCCTCCCCAGGCCTCAGATTCTCCCGTTGCAGATTCTAACCTGGCTTCGTAGGGTCGTCGTCAGGAGGAAGCGAGAACGCACCCCGCTCTTTCACTCCGCAGCAAACAACAGAAGAGCTGACCGCGTTCGGGTGATTTATAACCTTTTATTAGTGAGGGTGTCCTTAAGTACAATCGGGGTGCGTCTCAAACAGTGTGACCCTCTTGCTCCCAACCCGCTGGAGCAGCGTCTCCTCTTGTAACTCGTGTGGCTGCCGAAGGCTTTTGGCCTCCGTGAACTGTGTGCATCTGACGTGGGCTAACGGGGGGCGGGGACACAAACGGGGGCCCCTCGAGACGTTGGAAGGGCAGACGGGTGGGGAAGGTCTTGGGAGCAGGAGGCAGCGGCACCCGTTTTGGTGACTTTCTGCCCGTCTCACGTACGCTAAGTTGCCAGTGATCAGTCACTGTGGTTCTATTTTCCTAAAAACTCAACTTTTCTGCACAAGTCACTGAGAGGGGGAGCGGGTGTGTCTGTGTCCCCTCTTGGGTTTTTCTCATTTGGTACATCATTCAAAACTCCCATCGGTACCTGGACGCAGGGTGGTGGTTTTTTTTATATTCGTTGTGAGGGGGTGTCTGTGACATTTGGAATTTGAGGACGGATTTAGACAGTGCTCAGAGTCCACCGGGTTTGGGTCTGTTCAGCTGTTGGCAAGGTGCTTATTCACTGGCTTTCGTTCCATTGAAGTCTGCATCGCGAGCGTCCGCTTCCTCCTCAGAACCGTCGGCGTTTTCAATAACTCGACGTCCTCCAGACCTTCTAGAGGGAACAAAGGAGGTCTCGTTTCCTCGCCTGTGGGTGTGAGGAGAACATACGTGTCTTTAGTAGAGAAATCTCCCTTGAGATCGGAAGAGGTTTCTAAAGGGACAGAAAACAAACACAGACAAACTGAAAGGAGATGAAAATATTCAGGTTAAAGTCAAGCTCTGACCCGTCTCAAGGTATGGTAACATTTAGTCAGCTGGAATGGGGGGACAAGTAGATTTTTCATAGCAAGACGGTCTGCTTAAAGAAAAAACGTTGGGGCGCCTGTGTGGCTCAGTGGGTTGAGCATCATCTGACTCTTGATTATCTGCTCAGGTCATGATCCCAGGGTTGTGGATCGAGCCCTGCATCGGGCTCCACACTAAGCGTGGAACTTGGTTAAGATTTTCTCTTTCTCTCTCTCTCTCAAAAAAAAAAAAAAAAAAGCGCTGGTCATCTGATGACCCTCAGGATTCTGTTCTGTGGTCTTTTATTTGGGAGAGAAAAAAAGAATCAAGTGGGGGCTGACACATTCCTGTGGGTTTATTCAAAGCCTACGGGGCAGGTGTGAAGGGGAGGGTGCTCTCATTCTGTCCCCCCCTTGCCTTCAGAAGGAAAAAAAAGGGAGGGTATTAGGTTCTCAGCTGGAAGAAGGTAGAAATGAGCATCAAAGGCAGCGTTGAGGTAGAGGCCACTGTGCGGATGCCAGAGTGTGCTCCCTGGTTAAAGCAACGCAACGCACGGCCCCCTGCTTCTGTGAGAGCAGAATTCTTGGTGTGAGTTCGCACAGGGCAGAGATCTTGTCTGATTTTTAGTCCCCATGCAGGCACCACGCATGGCCCGTAATAGGTGCTTAATGAATATTTGTTACAAGAATAAGATAGACGTGTTAATCTCGGGTGTATTTCAGCTCTAGCTGGTAGGACACCCCTTTGCTGTGTCCTTAGGGCTCCCATCTCTGGAGTGCCGGATGCCCTGAGTTACTGCCAGGGCCAGCCCGGGTCACCTGCAGTGAGGCTTTGCTCGGGAGGACAGGCAGGTAGCAGGAGAGGTCAGATCCCCCTGCACTCGGCCCCTCCCCACGGAAGAGATGTTTGCTGTGTTTTCTGTGACAAGAAATCATCGTGTTTGGCTCTGGCCATCTGGGCCTGTTGGACCCAAATCGGAGCACCTGTCTCCACTCATTTTAGGAAGAGGAATGTAGACTTTTGTCATGAGAAAGGACCTGCTTCACCACACAGAAGCTGGACCTCTAAAAGCCACAAGGGTGAGCCCGTCCCTGTTAGCGATTCTTGAGTTGCCTTTTGGACTAGGTAAATCTCGGGGCTAAAGGAAGGCCCAGAGCATCCTGAGCGCTGAGAAAGGGTTTCCAACGTGTGCCTCCTGAGGTCCGAGGGTGGGAGGACCCCAGGCTGGGAAAACCCACCCAGGTTTTTGGGGAAGAGCATTTGCTGAGGGACCGCGATTGAGGATGAATAAATACAGTTGCAGCCACTCCCAGCTCAAGCCTTGGGCCAGCTTCGCTCACGTAGGAGGGAAGCTTGGAACTCACTGCACCCTTAGGACTGACTTTGCATCACCTTTTCTCGAAATGACCTTTAAAAAGCCCAGGCCTTTAGCACTGTGCTTGCCAGGAACCTGGGTCCCAGAGGAGGGTCTCTGAGCACAAGACAGAAAGAGTAGCTGCTGCTCCCACACATCTCTCCTTCCGCTTCTGACCCTCCTGGTTCAAAGCTTGATGGGCCAGCCTGGGGCTGAGGAACCGTCTCCCCTACCATCCCGAGCTCCCAGCACTCTGGGCCCCTGGAGACAGTCTGTATTTGCAAGCTACCAGAGGGGAAGTGTCCAGGCGTCCCCTTGATCTATGAGAGATGTCATGCCCTGGGTCACCATAAGCCCCCTGCGCAGCCACCGGCCCTGTGAGCCTGCCTTCCGGCTCAGGTGCCCTTCCTGAAGGAGCTGGTTTCACATCCAAGGCCAGGGTTGGCACCGGCTACACCTGTCACAGGAAATAAGGGAGCCCTTTTAAAGATTTTCTTCAAGGGTCTGAGCTGGGAGAGTTTGGCTTCTATTCACAGCCTCTGAGAACTCCCCCTCACAACCCCCCACCCCGAGACACTGGTGGAGCACCGGGAATCAGCACCTGAGTGTGAGCACTTGATGTGCGAGGACTCTCTTTCCCCGCAGCGAGTGCGTCCCCAGTCCAGCCTGAGCTGCCAGGGGTGCTGTTCGAGAGCTGTGTTTCAGAGGCTGAGAGCTTTTCCTAAAGTGCCGGCTGACCCCTCACCCAGCTTTAAGTATTTGAGCAGCAACAGCGAAGCCGAGATTCTCCAAAAACGGAAGAGGGACACAAGCCAGGCCTTGCTGGGCCTCTCGAGGCAGATGAGAGGGAAACCAGGCCCTGGGTGCCTACGTCACGTGTGGAAAAGCTGTTAGACTCCCAGACACGTCAAGGCCTCTTAACTCTGTCGTGTGAAGGGCCCTGTGTTCTCCCTGGAGTCTGGGGTGTCTTGTCCGTTTCCCACTGGGAACACAAGCCCAAAGCCCTGGAAAAGGCTCTGTCCGGACTACGCTTGTCTGCGCAGTGGCCAGCGCGTGTGCCCTCGCGTGCCAGTGGCGCAGGTGAATGCTAGGCCTTGCCTAGGGCCCTTACGGCCCCAGCGACTGCAGAGTGTGCAGCCAGAGCTCATTTCTTTCACAGACAGGTTTGCGAAAGCCCGGCCGTGGGGGCAGCTGGGGGCTGGGCTGTGGTCACCAGGAACCTGTGTTCCGTGACTTGTGATTTGTGGGCCAGACCGGCCAGACGGAAGCCAGTCTCCAGGAATG